ACTTATAAACCGAATAGCAGAATAGGCCAAGCTAGGCTGTTTGAACTTGTTAGTAGAGGTGATGAAGATAAAAAATAATGCTTATAAATTATTTTTGCATTAAAAACCAATTATTCCAAATCACAAAAAGAGCTATTGGAGTTTTTCATGTTTATGTTCTTACCTTTTGGGGGTAATAGGTCTACTGATTAGGCTATAAGCTATAGTTTTAGTAGATTGAGTTATTTAGAACTGGCTATGTAAACCAGACTGAACTTGAACTCAGAGTGGCTACCTGCTGCTGCATCCTGAGTGCTAAGAATAAAGGTGGGTGCTACCACAGCTACTTTTATTTTTAAAATTAAAAAAAAAAAGGTTTATTTATTTTTATGTATATGGTTATTTTGCATATATGTATATATGCAAATATGTATGTCTGTGCACCATGTGCATGTGGAGGCCAAAAAAGACATCAGATCCTCTAGAACTGGAGTTACGAGTTGCCATGTAGGAGCCCCCAGCCCTCATAACTGCTGAGCCATCTCTCCAGCATTCTGCCCTTTGGAGTTGTTCGTCATCTCTCTTCCCATCAGAGCAAGTGTCCCTACTGTTTCCTCCCTTGCTGAATCTTACCCATGCTTAGGACTTCTTGGTCTATGGTGAGTGTACCTGACTCACATTTCCCCACTAAATCTATGGAGCTCCCACTTAAAGGGCTATGCTTATAAAGTAGGGACAGTGCAAGACAAAGAGAGTAAACCTTTAAAAAACAAAGTTCAAATCAATAATGATTATCATTTCCTAGCCTCGATTTCCCTGCTAACAACTGAACGAAGACAGGTACTAATTAGAGAAACGTCAAGTGTCTGGATTCTGAGCTGTACCAGATGGTGCTGTGTGAGAACTATTCATAGTGCCAGGGAGAAGGTTGGGTTGTTCTTAGCTACCGTTCTTCCATCTTGAGCTTGTCCAAGGATGCTTACATTTGCCCTCCTCCCCCAGTCCTTTGATTTTGCCCTGGTACTGCCAGGGTATTCCTTTGCCTTTATCTTTACTGAGGGCTCCGTGGGAGCTCATTTCCTTCTTTGTCGTCAGATTTCCTTTCTTGCCTGTGTTATAACTTGATCACGTTGGGCTTTTAAATCACCCTGCTGGCTCTTTCTTGGTGTGTCTCAAGATCATGCAAAACTGGGACCATCTTCAGCCCTGCACACAGATAGTTTCTGCCTCTGCTGTTTGTTGCCATTGAACCCCTCATAGATTGCAAACAGATTTTCTCCTTTGGGTTTGTACTTTAAATATTTGCTACCAACTCTGAGAAAGCCTTGTTTGTTTGTCTAGAAGTGTTCAGCACAGTGGTGTGTTGGGATGGCTTTGACAAGAACCGCACAAGCATTTCCTACAATATGGAAAATAGCACTACACAGCATGGAACTGATCATGTTGAACTGAATGGCTGCTTTTTAAAATGTTAAAACTAGGGCACGTTTGTTGTGAAAGTTATAATTGCCCTTAGTCATGAAACTTTGTCTTGATTTCATAAGTTTAGAAGAAACTAATTGGTGGAACCAGAAGGGTCAATAGTTATTGTTTACTCTTGAGATTTCCAGTTTAAGTAAAGGACCACTCTCTCTTTTCCCCTTCTTCATCTTTTTCCTTGATCTTGCTGAAGAGTAAGTCAGCCAAACACATTAGGAAGCTGGTATTGTAATTCCAGCAAGATATCTGAAGGCCAGACTGACTGCAGTCCTGTTAGGTATGGGAAAGAATCCACGAGAAGCTTGCTCATCAAGATGACAGGGAAAAGATTCCTGTATTTATTTCCTGGTGTTGTAATTGATTTTTATACCTTTACTATTTTGTACTGCCATGTGTCTGTGAACTGTTTCACCAGCCTCATTTCTTATATTTCCTTGTTTGGGAAGCTATCTATTTAGTGCCTCTTACACCTTTGGAATCCATAGCATTTGTGAGGATCTGGGGGTGGAATTCGGCGGCATTTGTGAGGTCCTGGGTACCCCACCCAAATCCCAACGTTTTTTTAGGCTTCTCCCCTTAAAAGGGAAACAAAAATACCTTTCACAAAGCTGAGATACATGTTAGTCAGGAAAGTGCCTGCTTATAAGCCTGAGGACCTGAGCTCAGACTCAGTTTCCACAACCCTATTTAAACATCACCCTACCCAACCCCAGCTCACCTGCCCAGAGGAATGTTTGTAATTCCAATCCTGGGAAGCAAAGCAGATTACTGGAATTTGTTGACCCGGGCTAGCCTAGCTACCTGGTCACACAGAGGTCAGTGAAACTCTGTTTCAAAATAGGAGGTGGGAAATGCCTAAGGAACGGCACCCAAGGCTGGCCTCGGCTTCTGCAAGCAGCCCCCTCCCACAGAAATAACTTGCACAGCTACCCAGACAGAGGATGTATTAGCATTTCACTGTGCTTCTGCTTTTCCTACGTCTAAATATAGTTGTGCTGAAAGGAAATGCTAAATTACCCTGGATTGATTAGTACAATATGCCAGTGTCTAAATATCTACCATTTTTGTAATTAATATGTTTATCAAGAAAGAAAAAAGGAAAATGGTGTAGTTGCATTGAAGTATATATATTTGCTTGTAAAAAATCTTCTCTTCTTATGAAACATTAAATTATGAAATGCTATTCAATATTACCAAAGCGTAATTTTGGTTTGCTGTGTTAAGACCTATGGTATTTGTTTTTACCAGTTCCCTACTATTGAACATTGATGTTGTTTCTGACTTTATAATGAATTCTGTGATCGATATTTTCTTGAATAATAAGCCTTCATGTATACTGAGGATCAGTAGAGTAGAAACACATTTTTGAAGTCAAGAATTTCATTGAGGGCTCAAATGGAAAACAAGGTAAAGTTATGAATGAGCTGTAGAGACTCAAAGTTGCAACCTGGTTCAGACATAGGAACAATGCCTAACTGCTCAGAACTGCTTCCAGCTCTTTTTAGCCTGATCCCCACATTGTAGAAAAAGTTCGGGGGTGGGGACTGGGGAAAAGCTAAGTCAGTCAAGCGCCTGCTGTATACCACAAGGGCCGGAGTTTGGATCCCCAGGAACCACATAAAAATGTCAATCGTGGGAGCACACATTTGTGTACCTTGGGTCCCTGGAGCTCGTGGGCCAGTCAGCCTAGCCAAAGTCATGAGTTATAGGTTCAGTGAAGAATCTTGTCCAATAAACAAACAAACAAACAAACAAACAAGGGGGGAGACTGAGAAAGACACCATTGGCAGTTTCTGGCCTGCACATACAAATGCATATATGTGCATGGTAACTTGCACACATGCATGCTCACTCCCTCACAAACATGTACATACACCACATACACAGAGAGAAGAGAAGGGGAAAGGAGGAGAGGAGAGAGGGGGAGATTATAAATGATAATTATGAATGATGCCATAGGTGTGGTGGGGAGGACAAGATATAGGGCAAGAAGTCCTCTTGTCATCCCCTATAGAAGGACACCCTACCCCCAGTCCTCTGTCCTTGCTTGTTCCCAAGTTCGTCTCCAAACTCTAACTCAACTCGGATGCCACATGATTCTTCCTTAGCGTTGTCGTTTCTACAGGTCTCTCTCTCTCTCTCTCTCTCTCTCTCTCTCTCTCTTTTTTTTATCAGAAAGGTAGTTCTCACCTAGTGTCCTGGTCTTCTTCAGCTGTCTGGGGGCATTGTGTAGCAACCGAACATCTCCTGTAATCCGTGTTCCTCCTCTGTGACAGGAACCTGGAGAGAGATGGGATAACAGAATGCCATAGTGAGGTCTGAGCTCCACAGGCTTCTGGGTAGTCTCTTTAATGTTTTAGATGGCAGGTTTGGAATAACTCTCCTTGTTTAAAAACATCAGCTTTAGGCATCGTTTGGGAGTCCTGTCACTATAATAAAAGATTTTGGTAATTACCTCATGAAGAGAAAAGGATTATTTTGGGCTAATGGCTTTGAATTACTCTTTCATCATCAGACATGCTCACTACCTTTGGGACCTCTGGTGGGAGCTAGATAGTAGTCCTGGGGGCTGGGTAATGGAACAGCATGCTTGCTTCACTGTGGTCAGAGAGCAGAATGCACAGATGAAGGGGCCATAGTTCCATAAAAGTTAACCTCCCCTAAGCGACCCGAGGATGCCTCCAATCTTTTCATATAAAGCATTAGAAACATCAAGCCCTGGCAAGTGCAAATCCGTAGGCCCATTGTGCATGTGTCATGAGAAAGCTAATTCTTTAGACAAAATTAGCTTTAACCAGAACTCAATGTTAAGATTAGTTTTTCTTGACTCTTTGTCATTCTTAGTTCATTTATGTCTCAGGAAAAAAAAAAAAAGAATCCCAAAATAGCAGATTAACTTGGGGACATTTTATATTATTTCAAAATGCCTGTGAATGACTCTGATTTGAATTAATTTCGCTATTTCTAGTTATTACTTAATAAGTCCTTCTTGAAATTTCCATATTAAAATCAATTATCCATCTTTGAGGGAAATTATTTCAATGATTACAGTTCTGTCATGATTCTTAACAACAGGAATAATTAAAAATGGCTGTGACGGGCGTCCACATCTATATTTAAAAATCTCTTCTATTGACCACACAGATGTTGTCACAGATTTTTGTCTTTGACGTGATAGATTTCTCACTAATTTTAAGGAGTGTGCTTTTGAGCTTTTGCATTGCTGAGCTACAGTTAATGAAAGTTCAAGCAGCTGCCCTAGTAAATCTGATGAATTTGTAACCAGACCTCTTTGGGAAAAGGCTAAGATCTGTCACTTTATGTCTTGAATATTGTGTTCAGATGTGTCGATTTTGGGTTCTTCTCGGTTGTGTGTTTAAAAGGTATGGTATACAGTGCAAGTGTATAGATACACTTGCGTATTATTTATACCATATTCACAAGTGAGTTATGAATTTTTATATGCTTTACTTTTAAAAACATAAACATGTTCATTCTAAGCCGTGACTTAGTGTAACATTTTTTTTTCTGTTTTTCTCTAGGTTGAAGAAATTGTAGACATTGGATCATTCGCCCCAGAGGATATCCACATTCCGAAGATTTACGTGCACCGCCTTATAAAGGGAGAAAAATATGAGAAAAGAATTGAGGTACTTTTACAGAGCGTTTTTTGCCAGTCTATTTGAATCTGGTTACCACTGTTACTCCTAAGTAGGAGCCTCTGGTGTGTCCATCGGAAAGGAAACTACTACACTTCTGGCCAGCGTAACAGTATCTCCACATCTTGTGATTTTTCTAGGCTGTCATATCTGCCAGGATTCTGTAATGGTTACTATTTATTTATGATATATTTATTTATTTATGATTCCTGATTTTGGATAGCTATCTTCGACGGTAGAGGTGACTAATCAGGTCTTGGGTGGCTTTGCCCCTCTGAAGTCTTAATGCTTGCTTAGAAATATCCGTGCTGAAATAGTTCTGCACTTTTATGGTATAAAGAAAGAGTTAGTTTTTAACTAGCCTTGAGCTGTGGGAAGATGTGTCATGAAAGTATCCAGGGGTTGGGTACTAGGAGCACTGGGTCTTCTCCACAATGACTGAACTGCAAGGTCTCAGTTGATGCCAAGATTCAAAAGGTTCTAGAGATTAGCACCACAATAGATAAATAGCAGGGGATGTTGGGAGTCAGAACAAAAGGCAATATGCAACCCCACACTGCTATCAGATGCCCTGAGAGCTAGGATGGGAGATTTACAAACACACCAATCTATTAGTGTGTTTAAGGAGATTTAGTCATGGAAACGGTTCTCTGACTGTTTCCAGTATTCCTGTGACATACACATAGACTCTGCAGGTGGAAGTCAGCAATTGGCCTCGGGACCACCTGGTAAACACATTTTGGCCGTCTCAGGAAACAGATGCCCAGGGCCTATGTCTTTTCTTTTATTCAGGCTCGGTTTGTTAACACCTGAGGAGAATTCGGCTGTCAAGTCCTAGGCAGAACAGTGCAGCAGTCAGAATGGCAATGACAAGGGGATTGTTTGTTTCGCAGTGCAAGCTGGTCTGCCTTCCGCTTCAAACAAATCTAACTGACCTGCTTTATTTGCTTCCTAAAGAATGGTCTCTGTCATGAAATATTACTCATGCATTCTTTTTAAAAGATTCTTCATTATATTGTAGACTTGCCTCCTACTGGGAACGAATGCTATTTTTTTTCTGCCAATTTTTATGTTGAAAGCAATGAGAAATTTGAAAGCAGATCTTAAACGTGAATAATTTGTTTCTACTTACTTTGAAGCGTTTATCACTCCGAAAGGAAGGCGATGGAAAAGGCAAATCTGGTAAACCTGGAGAAGATGTCAGGGAGCGGATCATCAAGAGAGCGGCTCTTGAGTTTGAAGACGGCATGTATGGTATCCTTTGTCAGTCTGAGCGCCACCAAATTCTCCATGATCAATAGGCTATTAGGCCTGTGAGTAATGATTCTTGTTTAGTTCACTTTAGCTTTTTTTAATTGAAATTTTTGAGTTCTACATTTTTCTCTGCTCCCCTCCCTGCCTCTCCCCTTCCTCCTTCAACGTTTTCCCAAGGTCCCCATGCTCCCAATTTGCTCAGGAGATCTTGTCTTTTTCTACTTTCTATTTCTCATGTAGATTAGATCTATGTAAGTCTCTCTTGGTGTCCTCATTGTTGTCTAAGTTCTCTGGAATTGTGGTTTGTAGGCTGGCTTTCTTTGCTTTATGTTTAAAAACCACCTAGTTCATTTTAATTTTAAAAGTAGTCAAACTTTACAGAATGGGATATGTAATTTGGGGGTAGCAAGATATAGGAAGTCGATGTTTGTGATCTATTTGCCTTCTTGATGGCAACTGAAATACACAGTCATTGTAGAATGTACATACATTTTTTGTACAGTTTGACATTTAGCTTGAAGTTTGACATGGAGCTATGTGTTACTCAAGATGAGGGCTTCGAATCTTAGAATCCCTTTTGTAACCAGTGCTATTTATTTTCTTGGTATTCTGACATTTGGTTACTCAGTGAGGCATAAAACCCCACTCCTCAGCAAGTTTCTGCTTCCTTTGAAGAAGATCGAATGAATGAGCTCTTTGGTCTGATAGTTTGTAAAGGTACTCAGTGAATGATTCAAATTCTGTACCTTCCCCCTTTTATCTTTGGCAAAAAATACCAGAGTGGACATAATTTAGTAGAGTTAGTGCCTGAAGTTTGAATGCATTTAAATAACAATGAGATTGTTTACCATTTTGCTTATTTTCAGTACGTGTTCACAATTTTGATAATTTTCAGTGTATTAGATATTGAACTATGATGCACATGGTATATAATAAGAGAAATATTTATGGAATTTGACTCCAGTGAAGCTGTACTTACAGACCTGGAGCAGACCAAATGAGAAAATGTCCATCCTAGGAGTTTCCCTTCCCTGTGAGTTTCGGTAATTTCTACTGTCTCTTGACCGAGAGGGTTTGCCATTCTTCCTTTATTTTCACCTCTATTCCTCTTTATTTCTTCATTTTTTTTTTCAACTTGCACTTGTGAGACAGTGAGAATTCACACGGGAGAAGAGAGTATCATGTTGGCCTCCATCTTCTGTATTGGCAAAGGAGGGGGGATCAGCCTGGACTGAATGGGTATCATCTCCCAGGCTTTCTCAGCTGACTCCCCATTGATGTATAAGCAGAGACTGCCATGCTTGTTCCATATAATAACGACTCCTGGGTGTTGCTCTTCATTCACTGTTGATGTATTGCCAATGACAGGTGTCTGTCACTCATCTTATTCATCTTCATGGTCTTTATTACCTTCCTTAGTCAGCACTAATGGTGCATAGCCGTTTGTTTCCTGGTATATGTCTTACTAAAGTATTTCTTATTTGTTTACTTTTTTCTTTGTGACAGGGTCTTTCTAAATAGCCTTGCTTGTCCTGAAAGTCACTGTGTGACTGGCCACAGACTCACAGAGAACCATCTGCCTCTGTCTCCTGAGTTCTGGGATTGAAGGAGTGCATCACCACGCTTCTTACTAATGCATGACTTACACTACTGTTAAAATTACCTTGGTTATCGTTTGAAGCCACTCCCTTGATCTTTGTGATAAAGTGTATTAATGTTATTGAGAAGACGAGGACTAATTAGACATTTTCCTTTAGGAGGATTATCAACGGCTGCCCAGAGAATATGTTCAGTTATTATATTCCTAACCATTTCTATCTAAAGAAGACTCTTGTTCTGATTTATATGTGCCAAGACTGACAGCACCACCTCTGCTTTTGCTATGCTATGCCTTAACACCTTTCTTCCAGCTAATTTGGGTATAGGGATACCTCTTCTGGCCAGCAACTTCATCAGTCCAAATATGACTGTTCACCTTCAGAGTGAAAATGGAGTCTTGGGTTTGGTAAGATGACAAACTTTTCTTTAACTATGAGCTATAGCAAATGATATTTGTAATTTACCCAATATAATTTTTCAGTGTTTTATCATCTCTCAGTAGACTTCTACTGTTACTGTGATAAAATTTTATACATTTTATACATACATGTAATATATGAATGGATAACATATGTAATAGCCACAGATGCACATATGTGTAGGAATAAGTTTCTGTCCTACCAGCAGCTCCTAAATAAACACACTGAGACTCATATTAATTATAAATACTTGGCCAATAGCCCAGACTTATTACTAGCTAGCTCTTACCTTTTCTATTAAACCATATTTTTACCTACACGTTGCCATGTGGCATGGTACCTTTTCTCAGTATGTCATGTCCACCTTGCTTCTCTCTCTGCGTCTGCTGGTGTCTCCTCTGACTCCACCCTTCTTCCTCCCAGTGTTTTCAGTCCGGCTTTCCCGCCTAAGCTTATTCTGTTCAACTATTGGCCAGTTAGCTTGTTTATTAAACCAGTCATAGTGACATATTTTCACACAGTGTAAAGGACTATTCCACAAGATGCTGACTGGCTGAGCTGTCTCCTGGCTATTTTCAGAGACACACAAATGCAGTGTGTCTGGATAGAGGCAGATTCCTGTTGAAGTCAAAGACTTGTACTTTAGAGGAACCTTCGAGGTTGTCTAGTGATCAGCTTCTTCTTCAATCTGAGGACAGAGGAAGTTAGTTTATGTGAATTATCCACATTGGACATTGAAAGGGAAATGGGCAGAGACATAAAACATTAGGTGTTAATTCAGTTTATTTATAGAATAGTTTTCAGTCCTTTGTCAGGGGGTATATTAAAAATTCATAGCCAGTATTTACTCATCCTTAACTCTTACATCTTTTCTTCTCCCCCTTCCCTTTTCTGTTAGTATATGTCATTAGGTAAATGTGCTGGGCTCCATTCATTTCACTAGAGTTACTTTATAAAAATGAGTACAAAATTAACTCAAGGATGTACCTCACATGTAGTAGAAAACATGTACGTGGCATGTGAAGTCCTCATTTTGATCTCCACCAAAACATCCGCATATGTACGCATGTTTATTGTGCGTGTATTCTCACATACCCAATTATAGTTTTTAAATATCCTACTGAGAACTGAGCAAAGAGAACATAAGGATGCCCATGTGTAGATACAGGGAGAGGTAAAGTTAAAATACTAGACTCAGACCTCCAAAGTGTTATATACCAAGACAAAAGAACTGCTGTTCCAAGTCTTTGTAGCCCAATAACACAAGGGTAGGTGACATTCACTCTCCTACCAGAAAGGGTTGCAGGTAGGTTTAACTGGGGCCCCTGGCTCTGTGTGGACCAAAATTGTTATTGATTTAACCCAAGAAAGATCACAAACTTAAAACAGGAGATTATTTTGTTATTGTTTTTCTTATTATTGAAAATATATATTTTTCCATACAAATACACTTTTAAAAATGATGTTAATTTTTATTGAAAATAGGTTTTACACAATATATTCAGATCATGATTTCCCTTCCCGCAAGTCTTCCTAGATCCTCCCTTCCTCCCCACCTACACAAATCCGCCCCCTCTCTTTTTCTCATAAGAAAAACAATAGGCAACTAAAAAACAAACACAAAACCCAAACCAGAAGAGGAAAAACAGAAAAAAGGCAAGGAAGAAGCACAAGAAACATAGAGATGGAGACACACACATACTCTCTCACACACAGAGATCTCATGGAAACACACACTCAGAAACCGTAATATATAAGCCAAAGACCTGTAAGGTGTTTTTTAAAAAAAACCTTTCGAGATGAGAACACTCCAAAAATACCACCATGTTTGTTTTCCATTGGCCATCTACTGCTGGGCATGGGGCCTTTGCTTGAGTGTTGTTTGTATACCCAGTTTGACTCAGCTGGAGGAAAAACTAATTCTTCCTTTGTGAAAACTTGTCAGTCGGAAATAGCTTCTGGGTGAGGGATGGGGGCTGTCATACAACATAGTCTGATCTCCCACCCTATCTCCTCCCAGATCCTCTTCACCTCCCTACCCTTCCAATTCCACAGCACCTTTCTCCCTCTCTTTAGAAAAAAACAGGTGAAGAACAAAACAAAACAAAAGCCAACAAATATTATTAATGAAATAATAATAATAAGGCAAAGAAAAGGTATTAGAAATGTGCACATCCATGCACATACAAACGTGCATGTGAGCATGCACACACACACACACACCTTGATTGTGTGATTCTTGCATGAAGTTTGTAGACACCATTGTACAATGCCGAAAGACTGAGCATGCTTGATACCTACATAACAGGCACCAAGGAATTACTTTTCTGAAACCAGACTAATAATTTTAGGAATATTTCTCACTTGCCCAGTCATAATCAATATGAGAAAGAGTTGTGTAAACCAGGAATTATTTTTGGAAAAGTTTATCTCACGTCTTCAGATGTCAGCATTCTAGATCTTCAGGGAAGGTATTTAAACAGTTTCTGCGTGTGCCTGGGGGAAGTGTGACTCGGTCACTCACTGACTGTGTGCTATGTTTGACAGGGTCCATACCCACTACAACACGAAGCTGATGCTGACCTCATCAATGCAGGTAAACTCACTTTGTACTTTTTCAGCATCTTCTTTTGCTACTAGTTTAGCTCTGTGTCAAGTATCGGAAACCATTTGAACCCAATTGTTTGTCTTCTGGAAGGAGCTCACTATATTTATGACAAAGGAGGGAAATGACCCTTCTAGTCTTTGAGATCCCTCTCACTCGGTTTCAGATGAGATAGTGAAGAAATGCAGGTGGAGGCGCATTTTAATTGCAGAGCCTTAGTGGGTCGGGCAGGGTCCTGCCTGTAAACAGAGAGCACACCCTTGCATGGTGTCCTCGAGAAGAGTTCAGAGACAGAACAATTGACAAGGGTCTGGACAGCATGAAGGAAACGCGATCCTCCAGAGCGTTATTCTACTCTATCCTTAGAGGGTGGTAGCAGGAGAGAGCCACCCAACAGAAACTGGCATGTAGATAAAAGACCATCACCAAATTACAGGTGACCTTGGTGAGCTAATGGTATCCACTGGGGTCTCCTGCCTGGGCCTTCTACTCACCAACCCCAAGTAGAAATATGCCAGGTTTCTGTAGATAAAGTGGGAGTGGGCGCACAGTTTAAGGCTGGTGTGCTGGGGATTTGTCGTAGGTGATGCTTATCATTCTGTAGGGTAGATGGCATCCTCTACAGGTGGGGTTGCTTAAGTCTGCACCAGGACACTGAAATCATGCCAAGGATGTGAGCTGAACACACACAGAGAGTTTCTTTGAGCTGGGGACTCCCACTGCATTCTCCTTTGCTCTTTAGGCCTCCACCTTGCCTTTTATTACCAGCTTGCTAATTGACAGGGACATGGAATAGATTAGCAACCCAGAGAATGAACAGCTCAGGCCTTTTGGCATCTGTCACAATGCTTGAGGTACCATTGCCGTTCTCTTGGCTTTTGGCTCATCCTTGGAAGGGAGCAGCTCTTAGGAAGCTAATTTATGTTCTAGGAGGATGTTCAGTGCCTTTCTTTATTCATTCTGCCCCCACAGATGCATTGTTCTTACTTTGCGTTCAAAAATAGTATGTGTAACTCTCAGAAGTAATACGAGCAGAACATAAAGTCCAGCTGTCAAGTAGAATGGTGTCTGGTACTTGGGATTTTGGAACATTAAAATATACATTCGGTTTGAATATTTGAATTAGCTAACACAACTCAACCCTGAAAGTCCCAGTGTGGCAATGCAGTGACATTTAACCAACGTGGTACTTGAATTGTACTGTATCCTTTAGCAGTAGCTCACTGGTTTGTAAAAATATTTGCTCCTTGCTTTAATTAATTTGTTATGTTAGTTGGTTATTTGCAAAATGAATAATTCTATTTCCCAAATCTCAGGCTTGGAGTTTATAAAACCCATTTTCCTTAGAAGAACAGATAATCTTTTCAGTCATATTGTTGGGTGGGAGCGGTTCTCTACACCAGGAAGTTTCAGAGTAGCTCCGCCCCGGTGGAGCTACCCCTTTTCAAGTTCTAAAATCCCACTGTAATCTTAAAGTGCCCAAGATAAAACCACAAGCGTCTGAGCTCCCACTGTCTCTTGTTGGTGCTACATGGTTTTCTGTCCATCCGCTGAACTATACCTGCTGCAAAGCCAGCTAGAGAGAGCTGTAGACGGCAGCAGGTAGGAGCGAGGAGAACCTGGGTGCAGGCTAGAGTAACTGGGAAATGTCTAATAATCCGTATGCATTTGCTTTTTCATTAAATGTGAACTAAGCATGCTTCCTTGTCAGTGATGTTTTCTTATTTTAATATAACAAGTAATATTTTTAAATTGCTTTAGAAAGAGTCACCTTGTACACCATGTGGCCTGCGAAAAGCCCATCCTAACTTCAATACTGGCTGTTTTCAACAGACTCTTGGGGACATTGGACAGTGTCGGAAGACATTTTTGACCGTTAGTACGACTGGCATCTAGTAGGTAGAGGCCAGAGACACTGCCAAACATTCTGTGACTAGAACAGCCTCCCAGAAGGTCACCCTGCTTTGGAGGGCTCTACCACTCCTGGAGAGCCACAGGCCTGCACACGGAAGTACAGGCAGCTCAACACTGGATGTCTATTGGGTTCTCTCTGCTTTGGACCATTCCTTCTTTCTGGTAGCCTTTGCGTTTACTGTGTGCTCACCACATTCTCCCCTTCATTTTTACCCCATCTCACTCATAATTACCATCAAAATGTATTATGTTAGTCCTTCACATTTTGGCCTATTTGATCACTTCCAATCCCTCCACAGGACAAGAATGTCCCCTCCCCAGAACCTACAACACATTGAGTGTCTTTCTCTTAAATACCCATTATTTTGTCTTGTAACTATTTCTCTTTCTTGCTCAATTAGAAACTGCCCCCCCCCCCCACCTTAGGGTATTAGTTTTTCAAGTCTCTGTATCCATAGTGTCAGCATGACCAGTGGCTCTTAGATCTCAGCCCCTACTAATTCAGTGTGGAATTAGAAACTGGGGGAGCTGGAGGCAGCAGCAGCCTGCATATGTAGATGCTCTCCATCTGGGTCTGCTGGGAATTCATGTTTGAGTACCAGTGTATAGGGAAGTTGAATTTTGTTTGTAGCTTTGTTCAGTGTTCATAATAGTTACTTACTCACTATTGAATTATGCACCAAAGAACTGAATAAGGATAAAATTAATGCACTCTCTTGACAAAATCATATGAAAAGATTTAGATGTACACACAGAGAAGTTATTTGTTTGAAACTGTCACACATGTATTAATGCATTCAGATTACTTTATCCTCACTCTCCTTTTATTGCTTTCATCCTTATTATCCCCTCATTGCCTGCTCCTCCCCCATTCCAGATTCCTGACTTTTACTTCATGATCCATTTAATTTAACCATAGCCATCTGTGTGACCATTGGTTTGGGACTATCTATTGGGGCCTGTTGGGGTCAGCAGTAGGTATACAACTGAAGTCAGGTACTCTCTCTCTTCCTGAATCACTTAGTAGCAAATAGTTCAGTGAAGAGGCTCGGCCTTGGTGATCCCCTCCTCCATTGGTACCCGACTGTTAGCAGGGCCATTCTTGTTCAGACTTTGCAGAGGAGCCTGTAGATACTGTGAGTTCATGGTTCCAATGGCCGTGCCTTAGCTGTAGGCTATTTTATCGCAGCCCTTCTTCCTTTCCTCCAGCTTTTATCTTCTCTCTGCCTGCTCTCCTGCAGCATCCAGGAGCCTTAGAAGGGGTGTTAGAAATGGCTTGTCTAGGGCTCAGCTCTCAGCTGTCACTTTGTGACCTAGGAGTGTCTGTATTTACTGCCGTTCACTAGAGAGAAGTTTAGAGTAACATTTGTTGGCTTCTGTCTATTGTGTGGGGTGGGTGCTTGGAAAGGGTCCAAGAATGGAGCAAAACAAAGCTGAAACTGGAAACTTGGTCTTTCACCTGACACTGGCTGTCAAGTGGGCTGGATGCCTGGATAGGGTTTTGGATCGGTGGCAAGGCTATTATTCTTTACATTGATTTATTGTTATAGTTACTGACCAAATCCTGAATGTTGCATTAGAAACTCCTAACTATGGAAAAAACTTAACTTCTCTTTGTTAGTGAATTAAGAACAGGGATAGATAGGCTTTATAATTTAATTCATAGGGGGAAATCCCCTACTTCATTTAGTCTGTAGCTCTTGGATAAAGCAAAGAAGTAGCAATATGCTGAGGCATCAGTTTCACAGAACCAGTTAGAAAAGCTATTTCTCCTTACAATTTAGTTTATGTTGTTAAATATGGTGTTATTTGAGATGTATTACTTTATTTTTTCCAATTAAAAATGGTTTTCTCCTAAAAAACATTGTGAATTCAACATAGTATACTTAGGTACTGGATTCATTTAGATGTTGGATGTTTAAAAATAATAGCACCTAAAAGTAGAACCAGCATATAATCTAGTAAGTCTGTTTTGGCGTGCATTGCCAAAAGAAATAAAATCTGTCCGTACTGTGTTTATTGCAATACTGTTTACCAAGCCTATAAAATGGAAATAGGCTGAGTTTTTATTGGATAATCAATGGATAAATAAAATACATAGTAGAATACTATTAAATGGTTGAAAAAAAGATGATCTTTTGTCATTTGAGACCATGTGGACTATGCTAAGCAAAATGGATCAGGCATAGAAAGACAAGTCAGGCATATGTGGAACCAAAGAAAAGTCGGTATCCTGGAAGTTGAGGCTAGAATGGTGGCCACCAGAGCAGGCAGAAGGCAGAGCTGAGGAAGGCTTCCCAGTGGGCAGGAAGTTATGACTAGATAATAGGGGTTCTCATGTGCACAGTAGGGTAACCATAGTTATCAAGGATCTACTGTATGTTTCAAAAAGCTGAAAGGGGTTTCATGTTTTTCTAATCAAGAAAGAGTCAGCTTTAGAGGAGAGGCAGAAGTGTTGCTTCTGATTTGAAAATTCACAGTATGTATAAACCCATAAACACGTAATTTTTTGAGACTATAATATAATCACATTTCTTATCCCTTCTCTTTCCTCCCTTCAAACCTTTTAATTGTGTGTGTGTGTGTGTGTGTGTGTGTGTGTGTGTATTCCTAAACATAAAAATGCAACTTGCTTAGTCTGAATAATTCTGCTCACATATATATTTTCAGTGCTAATCTTTGGATTGGATAGCCAGTTGGAATGCTTACAGCAATTACGAATGAGTAAAAGTCAGGCTAACAGAGTGGCTCATGGGTAGAGGTGCTTAGGGACAGGCCTGACCTGGGTTCAATCCGAGTCCTCAGAATTATATTCCAACCTCACACACATACACATATACTCAGTCAGAAGAAATAACATAAATAAAAATGTGGAGAGGTCACTACTTCCAAAGAATATACACTGCCTTAGAAGACACATACACACACTGGAAATACATAGTATAAATAAGTAAAAACATGGACAGTTGACTCTGCTTCAGAAAAATGTAATTTATAAGACTGCCTCGGAAGAAGCCTGGGTACTTTTCCATGACGGATGTTCTCACGACTTTAAATACGGCTTGTGCAGTTCAGAGAGAGGCAGAACACTCCCCACTGGGCTCAGAATTTCCTACAAAATGCTAATAATAGTAACAAAATTATTATTATTATTATTAATTTAAAAGAACCACCTCCCGTATGTCATCAGTGGAGAATGTCTTTTGGAAATTGTGACTTAACACTCAGAAGAAACAAAGACTTGGGAAGTTTGTGTTTCTTCAATGTCCTGGACAGTTTTCCTCCATGACTCTCCACCCCACAGAAGTGGCGAGGATCTGATTGGGCCAGAAGAAGCATTTGGATGAGGTCTGGCTGTAGTGTGTATGTCCGAAAGCTTAGAGCTCCTGCAGACTGGTTGGGAGGCTTACTGTGTGAGCCAGTTTGTGGTCCTGTGACGTTGTCCCTGGAGGGAAAGCCGCTCTGTCTCTTATGCTGAGTGGTTTGGAGGGAGTAGCACTCATGATCGTAATGCCAGCTTCTGTCACGAAGCTTCCGCTCTGCACCCGGCTCTGGCAGAGGACTGCACATGCGTTATCTCACTTAATCCTCCACGTCTTGTGTGCTGTCTAAAAGCCACTTCTAACCATACCAGAAAGTGGTTCCCAAAGAGTTTCAGGTTTGCGGTACTTTGGAAGAAGAGAAAATATTTCCATTATTTAGAATCGAACTCCCTCGGGCAATGAATATTTCAGTATGATATAAATAGGCCTACTTTCCCCCTATCCTCGAGCTGAAGTTAAGGATATTGACAAAGGTCTTAGCTTTCAGCAGTCCTTGGGAAGCCAGCCAGGGTAGCTGTAGCTGTGGTGCACAGCTGGGGTGGCCAGTCGTCTTCCGGTGCTGCGGCGTCTGAGAACGTTTCCTGCATTCTGACCTCTCAAGTATAGCTTTTCTTCCTCTCCTAAGCTACCTTCCTGTGATGGAGCAGAGGAGGGAGTTCTCTGTGACAGCTGACTTACTTCAGTCAGATGGCGTCTGAGCGTTTTACCAGTGAAGACCATATGATGTTCTGAAAGCAGGAAGAGACAGAATGTAGATCCCACAAGACGGGCAGCTTGGCTCTGACCAAGGCACTGGTAGTTAGCTAGTGTGCTAACTGGATAAACATGGAGGTTTTATTTATATAGCTATCTTTAATTTTTAAAACAGGGTCTCCCTCAGTCTGTAGTCCCCGCTAGGTGGAATTCCCTGTGTAGATGGTGTGATCATTCTGCCTCAGACTCCCAGGATTACAGGCCTGTGCTGCCACACCCAGCTAAATGTGAAGCTTTTTTTTTTTTTTAAATAACTATGTGTCCTAATTTAGAAGTCTTAACAAGAGAATCTCTTAGAAATTAGTATTAAATGTGTTCAGAAGTGTTCTCTGATTTCATGAAAGTATGTGATTGAAGGAGCTCACAGCTTAAAGGGGCTGGAGAAGAAAGATGGATATGTGTATGTACTTGCATGTGAGGAGAGGGGGCGTCAGGCTTAATGGTAATAGGAAATTAGGTAGGTTTTTACACATTTTCATCTATTTCTATTTTAGGTTTTCTCCCCACAATTATTAAGGCATAGTTGGTGTCTTAGGGTCTCTGTTGCTGACCATGACCAAAGCAACTTGGGGAGGGAAGGGTTTGTTCGGCGGTTTATACTTGCCCATCACACTTCATTGTCAAAGAAAATTAAGACAGAAGATCAAGCAGGGCAGGAACCTGGAGGCAGGAACTGATGTAGAGGCTGTGGAGGAATGTTTCTTACTCTCTTGCTCCTCTTGGCTTGCTCAGTCAGCTTTCTTAGGGAACCCAGATTAGCCCAGGGATGGCATCACCCACCATAGGCTGGGCCCTCATGCATCAATCTTAAAAAAAATGCACCACAGGCTTGCCTACCAGCAGATCTTATGGAGGTATTTTCTCAATTGAGACTTCCCCCTTGTTTCAATTTGACAAGGAACTAGCCAACACGGTTGGCAAAAGAAAGTAGCGTGTATTCAGTGTTTAGTGTTTGGTGTGTTGACTTGACATGCGTGCACATAGTGAAATGACTGACATAATTAAGTTAATGACCTTTCATCACCTCACAGCTGCCATCTGAGGGTTCCTTTCAAAATCTATTTCACATGTGCAGTGTGGCATTGCTGCCTATAGCCACTGTGTGCAGTACAGGTCCTTGGCAACCTTTAGTCTTTAACTGCAGATTGTCAGCGTCGATAGCTGCAAATTGAAGGGCATTGTCTAGACAGCAGAGGATCCTTTGCCCGTAGAGAATTTCCAAGCAGCAATCCTGTAAATGCTGGTTGTTATCACTTTGCAGGAACAAAAATCTAAACAACATTAGAGGTAAAATACACCTCTTCTCAGGGTGGACACTTGCTACCCCACATGCAAATGCATTTTTGTTGGATTGTAGTGTCTTCCAGAAGCAGAGATGGTACAGACCTCTGTCCATCATGATGATCTCAGAAATCTAATAGTTCTTCCCCCTCCCCTTTCCTTCTTTCTTTTGTGTGTGCCTTTAGGAAAGGAAACGGTTACTGTTCTTCCAGGAGCCTCTTTCTTCTCCAGCGATGAGTCATTCGCGATGATTAGAGGGTATGTAATAGTGTAGCCCCTCTCTGTAGTCACATGGTGTAGAGTGGGTTGAGTCATCCCCTGAGCAAGCCTCTGTGGCGCAGTCCCCTTTCCCACCGTCCCATTAAGTGATCACGGTTTGTTCAGCTGCAGAAAGCTGTGAAATTATTCCCACTGAGGGTTGGGCATGGAAATACCCACCCCACTACTTTGAAAAGACCCCCTACATGGAGTCTGCCTCTTTGTGCCAGCTTGACTGGAATAACATTATAAGGTATTCCCAACATTTCCTTCAAACTGTGGGCTCACTTTCCAGCTACAGTTTGTCTTCAAAATAAGTCACATTCTCCCTCACTGGAGGAAACGAACTTCACTGTGCACACCTGTGTTTAGTTTGTGTTTGGAGACAATATAAGCTATAATTTTTAAAAAAGAACTCTTAATGGTACTTCTTTGCACCAGCTTGGCGCTGATCTATTTAGAAATCAATTGCAGGGAGTGGGAAAATAGATGCATTTTGGAGTTTAAGATTATTTTAATTGCTGATGCTTTCAAGCAAAGGGGACATAAAGCATGTGAGGTTTGCTTTATACTTCTTTCTTTCTTTCCCAGGGGACATGTCAATCTCACAATGTTAGGAGCCATGCAGGTTTCTAAATACGGTGACCTGGCCAACTGGATGATACCTGTAAGTAGACATTTTTCCTTCTTCTGAATTATATTGTCTTAGAATGCTTTTGAAACACTAAGAAAACCCCTCAAATTGCTATGAAAGTACAATATAATTATTAGAAATGAATAAATATATTCTCTTCTTGGTAGAATTGATTTAAAAAAAACCTTTATTTTATATGCATTGGTATGAAGGTGTCAGATCTCCTGGAACTGGAGTTACAGACAGCAGCGAACTGCCATGCGGGTGCTGGGAATTGAACCTTGGTCCTCTGGAAGAGCAACCAGTGCTCTTAACCACCGAGCCATCTCTACAGCCCCTGATTTTCTTTTCTTTTTTTCTTTTTTTTTTTTGTTTGTTTTTTGAGACAGGGTTTCTCTGTGGTTTTGGAGCCTGTCCTGGAACTAGCACTTGTAGACCAGGCTGGTCTCGAACTCACAGAGATCCGCCTGCCTCTGCCTCCCGAGTGCTGGGATTAAAGGTGTGCGCCACTACCGCCCGGCCCCTGATTTCTTTTTTAAGATACAATTTTACTCTTAGCCCAGGCTGTCTCTGAATCCATAGCATGGCTCTAGCCTCGTAAGTGCTGGGACTATGGATATGAACTGCCATACTTAGCCCAAATTTAGTTTAGCAGCCCTAAGAAGTGCTCAGTGTTTTCTATGTCTTTGGGACTAGTGACCAGAAATGTCATGGAAGGCTTTTTCCTTAGAGAAACAAGAGTTAGAAGATTGAGAAACTAGGTTGGTTATAATCTCATGAATATAAGAACTGACAAACACCTATTACAAATAAGATTTATAACTAGAAAGAACAAGGAACAATTTTGTTGATTATATGTTAATTCTATTTTTCTTATGTACAGTGATTAAAAAGCCTTTCTTGATTAGGTGTGTGACTCCTTAATCATGTTGTCTTCTGTTAGGGAATTCAAAGTCTGTGGATTCAAAGTCTGTGGTAGTTAAATAGGCTTATAAAGGCAGCTGGTTGGTTTTCATTTAATGATGCAAACTTTCAAGAGGAAATCTCAGGATTAGTTTTGGAAAAAGGCTTACAGGATTTCTTTCCTTTGGTTTTGGCCATGATAAGGCTGTTACTGTGAGATTGATTACGTTAGGGGACAGCAGTGGACATATCCCTCTGGGTATAAGCTCACCGTGGCTGCTTGCTCGGCTGTGTGTGTGTGTGTGTGTGTATGTGTGTGTAAGGTAAGGATGTGTATTTCTGTGTTTCTCTGTAGTACCAGCTAAAAGGTGTCCTGTTAAGTAACTAACATTGGTGTTCTATGATAGTTTATTTTGATATCTCTTAGTTGTATTTCAAAGAAAAATTTGAACATGGTGAATTTACATAATTGAAAGCTCTGGTAGAAATTATGGTTGGTGTTAGGTTAGCCTTGTTGAGCTACCGCTACCCCCAACACTAAAGTTTAATAATAATTAAAGCTCTGGTTTTCCAATTTAATGCATCATCTCAAAGGTTAAGAAATATTGAGGCTTGGGCTGGAGAGATGGCTTCATGGTTAAGAGCACTTGCTGCTCTTCCAAAGGACCTAGGTTTGGTTTCTAGCACCTATAGTTTTTACTACAGGGGATCTGACACCCTCTTCTGGCCTCCATGGTCCATGCACACATGTGGCATACACGAACACAGACATGCACATAAGTAAGAATAAAAATAATCTTCAAAGAATTGAGGTTAATTTTGCCTCCAGCCAATCTTTTAAATTTAATTTATTGGTGACATAGCCCTGGAACGGGGGTGGCTTAAAGCAACCTGAGTGATTCTAGTGTTGGAAATTTGGAAATAAGCACATTAAATAATTATCACCATTTGTCATTAAAATGTAGGGGAAAATACTGTGGGTCCACCTGTAGTAAGAATTCTTAGCAGATTTGGGGTTATAGCGTTTTTCGATTGTGAAAAGATCAGTTATTTTAAGTCAGGTGTAGGGATAGTGATGGCAGCTTTTGGAGGCCCAGAAGTAATCATGGAGGATGTCCTGTCTACCATCCAGTGATTCGCATCGACAAGTAACGGTATGTATTCATGTAGGAAATCAGAATGTGTGTCTACCTTGACATTTTATGAAAAGGCAATGTGGGGTAGGAGAAGGCACTTACAAAAGCAAGTGTTGGGTTTTATACTGACAATATCAATAGTCGAGATATGACCCTGAGCATACCACTTAAGATTTTTGCATTAAAGCATTTTCATTTTGATCCAAAAAAATTGGAAGTTTGAGACTAGAGTCTGGTTCTCCTGATTTAGTAGTTAAGGACAAAAAAAAAACCCATAAAAACAAACAAACAACAACAAAAAACCTGTGGAGAGATAGATCCTAGTTGTCACATTGGAGCAGTGTAACTTGATCGGTTTTCTGCCTTTGTTCTTCTGTAAAATAGGAATGACGTAATGGTAGCTGCTTTCTAGGCCTATCTAAAGGAAAAAGAAATACTGGGTAAATTTCACAGAGCTTGACTCAGGACATGAAAGCAAATGGGCTCTTATTCTGACAGGCTAAGGAAACGATCCTAGCAGAGAAGTTGGAGTCCTGAGAGGGAAGGAGTAACAGCCTCTGTTCCAGGAAGGAGGAGCAGTGAGCCTTGCTGTTCCTTTGCTTATCCACACTGCAGCCTGAAAGGTTGGAAGTTGGTATAGCTCTTCTGGGTGGAGCCTGTTGAGCAGGAGCTTGCCTTAGGAGGGCTTGGGCATCTGTAAACAGAGTTCAGACATGTGTGATCTGTTTTTGTTTCCGTTATCCTTTATACTTTAGCATGCAATGGGACTAGAGGGCTTTTTGTTTTTTTTGTTTTTGTTTCTTTTCTTTTACTGCAAGCTATACATGATAGATTCCCATTTTAAAGAACTTGCCAATGTGGGCCATATTGTTGTCTCCCTAAACTTGCTGTGAGTGATTAAAACATCAGTGTGCATTGCTTCATACTTTTCTTCATATAGATTTGGAGCTCATGAGTTCCAAAAGAGAGGACCTGTTGGGATGTTGATGGGGAACTCTGGATCATCATGAAATGACATGTGGTGATCTGAGAAACTGAGCGTGGAAAGTGTTCCTTGGTCTGGTTCCACATGTTTGGTAATGGAAGGCGGCAGCAGCATCTGTGGTTGTTGACTTTTGTGTTTTGTGTTTTTGTTTTGGAAGCTGACAACCACTCCTTGACTTCTTCGCATGCGATGCACAGTGCATGTTGTTTTCTTCTGTGACATGGTAGTAAAGACCAAAGCGTTTAGTTTGGAAATCAGTCTGAGCTTCAGATCTATCCCTTACAAATGATACAAGCTGGAACACATGTTTTCATTATGAGTAAGTGATAGCGAGTCTAGAAAGCATGAATGCTCTCCATGAATGAGGCTCTTATTTCCATCTTCATTAATGCTGTGCCACATGGTATTAAAGAGCGATGTGCCTACAACAGAACTGATTGAACAAGATATCGCCGCGGGAACCAGTAGAACCTGCTTAACCTAGGTTTATATTCAAGGGCCAAGCTTGAAATGCTTTTAGATGCACTTCTTGCTTTTGTTGGTCTTAGAGTAGATGTATTCTGCCCTTTCTGTGTACTTTCAGTAAGCAATCTCTTTCTGCTTGTCTCAAACATTTATGCTGATTTATACAGTTTAGATATGTTTTTATTACAAAATATGACAGTCAAGAAGCTGGAAAGTTGAGCTTTATTACATCATTTTTCATTGGCTTTATCTTTCCACTAAGTGCAATAATCTTTCATTGGCTATATAAGTCTTGAGCTCTCAGTACCAAGGCGTCCACATCAATCATAACTGTGTCAGAATATAATAAATGCTGAGGCCGTAAGACAAGAAGATGGTGTGGATGCTATTTGTCTCATCCTTTAATACCTTCTTAGTATTCAGCGCTGCTCGCGTGCACACAGATTTTTAACACTTCTGCTCTGAGTCGCTGAAAACGGAAACGTTGACAACAATAGCTCACTCCTTCCTAGTCCCTGACCAGCATAGTGATGGTGAAACCCCAGATGAGCTAAGAAAACATGGAAAGATGTGCAGCTGATGGAATCTACACTTGGGTCTGCTCTGGTGCCTTCCTAATGGTTATTTTTGGAAAACAGCTGGCGTAGATTATTGACTTATGAAGGGACACAGATGTGGATGATCATCTAGGAGAGCTGTTGTTGAAAGCATAAAATAGCTACCCACAGAGCAGGGCTGCCTAGCGTGAGTGGTACTGGAGACAGGCCCTGTGGTGCCCGTGGAAATACAAACGAATTAAGGAAGAGGAAAAATGGGCATTTTGATATAGTTTTCCCCTCCTGTTTTTCAGTCTTTGTGCATTTGAGAAGCATAGGCCTAAATTCACTTTGAACACACACATATATATATATATATATATATATATATATATATATATATGCACTCTCTGTGCCAATTAGCAACTTGATGTTTGCAAAACGTACAAGAGCACACACAACATAGTGTGTGATTGTAGTGGCGCAGGCTGATGGTGGATTTCTTCCTTGATCATCCTCTACTTTCTGAGGCAGGGTTTCTTGCTGAAATTAGAGGCTGCTGTTCCTACTGGTCTAGCTAGCCAGTATGCCTTGGGTATTCCATCTCTGTCTCACCAGGGCTGGGATTAGAGACAGGCCACCACCCTTTGAACTCTGATCCTGACATTTGTATGATCAGTACTTTATCCATCAAGTCATCACGCCAGACCTTTAAGTTACGTACTATAGCTCTTTACTTGGAGACTATGCTTGCTTATATGAACATTATTTTATCTGCGTGTGTCTGGAAAATAGTATGTTGAAAAAAATGTTTCTTACCTACATTCAATGTGATTTGGGTTAAAGCCCTTCTAGAAGTACTTTTAAGAATTTGATCAAGTACTTTGTGTCTTTTCTGGTGTGAGAGGGCAAACTCCTTGCATGGAGGGAATTCTGTTCCTCTGCCTCCCTCCATCTCTCTCTCTCACGTTCACTCACTTCCCCCTTCTTTTTATGTAGAGAAACTGA